TATTAACAAAGTTAAAAACAGCTTAATATTTTTTGTGGAAACCGTGATATATATATATTCAGGATTCTTTAGGAAATATTCTATTCATAAAATAAAATTCAAAACAACAGCATATAATATTTTTTTCTTTTTTTACATCTATTTCCAAAATAAATAAATAAATAAATAAAAAAATCTGACTGACCCAAAACTTTTGAACTGAGTATTTTTTTACTATTATTATTATTGTTATTATTATTATTATTATTATTATTATTATTATTAAAGCAATCAATGAGCAATTAATTGACTTTGGGTAAAAGGCACCTTAAATCTAAATCTTATAAATAATTTATAAATTGTGTGATTAATGACCTAAAAATATGAGTGTGTATATTTAAACAATTAAATAAATTATTAAATGCTAAATGAAAATATTAATCTATCAAGATTAATGAAGTGCAGATAAATAGCAACTAAAATAAATATGTATAAATAGCTGTGAATAATGTCACTTAGAAAAAAAAGTTGAATCAAAAGATAGATAGATAGATAGATAGATAGATAGATAGATAGATAGATAGATAGATAGATAGATATCCTTGAGCCAACTCGATGTTTCCTGTTCACTGTCCACTTTCCTGTTCGGCCTGAGTTCATGTCTTTAATATGGAGTGCTGCAGACAGGAGCTGGTGCACTGGCCTGCTGGTCTACTCTCAGACTATTAAAACCTGGCCTCTGAGGATGTGCACTAGAGCATTTTTTTCAGCCTGTCCCTCTCTCTTTCAACCCTGATTTCAGTTTGATCTGCTAAGTGGGCCGGGCAGCCCTGCATCTCCGCAATGATCAGCAACAGCACCTCCACTCATTACAAATATCGATGATCGCTTCAAATGATGAGTTGTCAGTGCTTGGAGTGCTTCCTGATCCCCACTTGACAGCCACACGCAAGTCAGCCTAAAAGACTCACTGGCGGTAAATGTGGGGTTTCCTAGTCAAGCCTGCATCGCTGTGAATCCAGATGGTTATCGAGAAAGCCCTTTACTTCAGATAAAAGCTCATCCATTATGAGTAGCCTGACACTGATCAACTTTTTTTTCTTCTTTTAACTGGAGCTGCTTTTGATTTAGGCATGGATTACATCGTATGGATGAATAGAAGGTGAGTTTTCTTTAAAAGCAGCATACTGTAAACATCTGGATATGTGTGGTCCTGTTTGGGCTCAGAACAGAAGTCTGTCAACCTTCCTGATGTCAGTGCATGGAGACATAAAGTCCTATATCCTATAAAGTGTTCTTAAAACAACATACTTTCCTTATGGACTGCAGAATGCATGAATAATACAGGAGAGACCTAAATTTAATTTGCCACGCTATTTCGCTGAATAAACAATGCTGAAGTAACTCCATGCATTCCTCTCATAAAGCAAATCTAATCATCCTCATTATGGATAAATACTAGGCCAAATGAAATTTTCTGTTTAAGGGAGGCTTTTAGAGGTAAAAATACATCAACACCAATGTCAACAACACAAGAGTGAGGCAAGTGGATCTAGACAGGTCTGCTGGATTCCGGCTTGGTTAAAGTGAACGGCATCTTGAACAGAAGATACAAGTTCTGGATTGGTTGGAGGATTCATTTATGTGTTTCAAATGTGTTTATGAGTTTAAAATGTTTTAAAGCCAATGTCTCACTGGCCAATTCGAAACAAATCGTTTCTGTCATTTAATGATTAAGAATTGAAAAGGGACAAAATAAATGTCTGTGACATTTCTCTTCAATTCACTGCCACAAGAAGCTCATAATTGAAACATAAAAAAACACCATAACAGACTATAGATAGATAGATAGATAGATATCCTTGAGCCAACTCGATGTTTCCTGTTCACTGTCCACTTTCCTGTTCGGCCTGAGTTCATGTCTTTAATATGGAGTGCTGCAGACAGGAGCTGGTGCACTGGCCTGCTGGTCTACTCTCAGACTATTAAAACCTGGCCTCTGAGGATGTGCACTAGAGCATTTTTTTCAGCCTGTCCCTCTCTCTTTCAACCCTGATTTCAGTTTGATCTGCTAAGTGGGCCGGGCAGCCCTGCATCTCCGCAATGATCAGCAACAGCACCTCCACTCATTACAAATATCGATGATCGCTTCAAATGATGAGTTGTCAGTGCTTGGAGTGCTTCCTGATCCCCACTTGACAGCCACACGCAAGTCAGCCTAAAAGACTCACTGGCGGTAAATGTGGGGTTTCCTAGTCAAGCCTGCATCGCTGTGAATCCAGATGGTTATCGAGAAAGCCCTTTACTTCAGATAAAAGCTCATCCATTATGAGTAGCCTGACACTGATCAACTTTTTTTTCTTCTTTTAACTGGAGCTGCTTTTGATTTAGGCATGGATTACATCGTATGGATGAATAGAAGGTGAGTTTTCTTTAAAAGCAGCATACTGTAAACATCTGGATATGTGTGGTCCTGTTTGGGCTCAGAACAGAAGTCTGTCAACCTTCCTGATGTCAGTGCATGGAGACATAAAGTCCTATATCCTATAAAGTGTTCTTAAAACAACATACTTTCCTTATGGACTGCAGAATGCATGAATAATACAGGAGAGACCTAAATTTAATTTGCCACGCTATTTCGCTGAATAAACAATGCTGAAGTAACTCCATGCATTCCTCTCATAAAGCAAATCTAATCATCCTCATTATGGATAAATACTAGGCCAAATGAAATTTTCTGTTTAAGGGAGGCTTTTAGAGGTAAAAATACATCAACACCAATGTCAACAACACAAGAGTGAGGCAAGTGGATCTAGACAGGTCTGCTGGATTCCGGCTTGGTTAAAGTGAACGGCATCTTGAACAGAAGATACAAGTTCTGGATTGGTTGGAGGATTCATTTATGTGTTTCAAATGTGTTTATGAGTTTAAAATGTTTTAAAGCCAATGTCTCACTGGCCAATTCGAAACAAATCGTTTCTGTCATTTAATGATTAAGAATTGAAAAGGGACAAAATAAATGTCTGTGACATTTCTCTTCAATTCACTGCCACAAGAAGCTCATAATTGAAACATAAAAAAACACCATAACACACTAGAATAGAGTGCTTGCAGCCATGACGTCAAAACCCGGAGGACTAATTCATTATGGAGCTCATCAAGATTTTCCTATGGGTTTTTCAAAATATTTTAAAAATATGAGTAAAACAAGGTTTATGGTAAATAAAAACTGACTTGGACAGTTTGCTCCACAATGTAAATTACACACAACCATACTGAAATTGCACATTTTGAAGCAGTTATGTTTCTAAAAAAACAACAACAACATAAGTTTGTATTAAGTAACTACATGAGAACATTTTGAGGTGTAAGTGTGTGCAGTTTACGTCCACAAAAGAAAAAAAACATCCAAGTATTGTCTAGTTATATTTAGCACAGAGCTTATTTTTCTCATGAATTGAATAACCCCATTATAAAAGCCCATAGGAAAATCTCGAGGGAACCCATGGTGAATCAGTCTTGGGTTTTGATGTCACTGCTGCAGCTCGATTAGGATAAAATTATTGGAGTAAACCAATCTGGTGTTTGTGAGGAAAATGTTTGGATCAGATCAGAGCAGGACACTGTCACATCAGATTTTCTTTGTGAGAAGAGCTCATTGGTCATTGCCAAGGCCTCATCTGACTGCCTTTGATACTTTCAAACTTGCTAGATGCTATCAGAGTGTCGGCAGGGAGCTGGGTTGCTGGGGCTGTTAACACTCGCCCGCTGAGAGACGCGGCAGAGACTCCCTCTGATTCTCCAATGACTATGTAAATGAAGCGTACGCATTAAAAAACGGCTAGTGGGACGCTGGCTTAAGATGATGTTGATGACAGCTGGAGCTCCTACGGCTCTCAAACAAAGACACAGAGGTCATGGTGCATGAGGACAAGAACACACCAGCAGAGTGTTTGTTTGTGTTAGCGTCTGAAAAGACACAAGATGAAAACAATAGCAGGAGGAGGCTCAGAGCATAGCTGCTGGAGAGATGGGAAGAGAACACATAAAACAAAATGCGCTCTGCGTAAAAGCACACAAATACTATTTGCGGCTTATTTTTTAAAAGGACAGTTCACCCACAAATGCAAATTTCATAATTTATCTTTAAAACCCCAAATAACTCTCTCCCGTGGAACACATAAAGAGTTATCTTGCACAATATTCAAGCTGCACTATTCCTTACAAAAAAGTGAATGGTGACTACAGCTGTCAAGTCAGATTACAGCAAGGTTTTCAGTGAATAGCTTCTCTACCTATAGTATGACTTCAGAAGACTATAGTGCAAATCATATGGGCTACTTTTATGGCACATTTATGGTGTTTAACCAATTTGATGCGTACATTTCTAAGCTCCATATTCTCCTATTTCATACTATAAATAATTCAAATATGATCATCAACAAAAAAACACATACACAGACTTTTTTTAAATTATTTATTAGATTATATATTTTTTTATTTGAAAAGTAGAAATGTTGCATTGACAACTAGTTAAAATAATTTGTTTTAAAATAATTTTTATATATATATTTGATTTTATTTCCATTTACGTTTATTTCAAGTAACACAAATAATTTTTTTTTATGGTTTTACTTTTAGTTATCTATAAAAATACTGCAGTGAGTAAACAATGTCAAAATTTTAATTTGTGAGTGAACTATTCCTTTAACTTAATTCAAAGTTCAGTAAAATCTAAATAACTTTTCTCAGTTAAAAATTTTGAGCATGCAAAATTGTTTTTTTGAGTGCAATATGTCGATACAAAATCACACAAACACACACACCCCAATCTACCCAGAAGTTGAACACCACTGATTGGTTGTGACATTCTCTAATAAAATTTCCAACAAAGCCTGCATACAGTTCACTACAGCGTTTTTTTTTACTGGGAACACACAGCCTTCACGCTTTTCTTACTTCACAGACCTAGGATGTCAGAGTGAGAGAGAGAGAGAGAAAGTGAGGGGTGGTCACCTTACCATTACAGCTGTGGCTGAGGGCAGGCTGCGTTACAGGTCTATAGAGAGCGGAAGTGTACTCTTCTTCCGAATCAGAGTCCTGCACTGCCTGCGTGGTGGCATTACTTAAGACGGAACTCTGGTTGTCATGGAGATTGGGTGAGGGTGGTTGAGAATGGGAATGCTCAGTGACTGATGGACTGGAGAGAGAGGATGGCATGGGAGAACCTAAAGAAAAAAAAAACACTTTAAACCAAAGGAAAATAAAAAATAACAACTGCAAATGAAAAGAACAAACATAGAGCAGCTACTTAAAAAATTGCATTACTATAAATAAGCTAAAAGTAAATAATTTTTTTCTTTTTAAAACTCAAGTTTGTGTGATTTTTTTCTTCTTGAAAATCAAAACCAAAGTGCATGTTCATGAAGCTGTATCAAATGCATAAACACAAGCAGCGTGAACAAAACATCAATTGCTACCAAACATAAAACAGCAAAGAATGATGGTTTGCAGCTTATAGTCCCCATGAAATCAAAATGAAAGTTAGTATCAATATGTTAGTCTTAGGGCTATCTATAAGGCAGTGTGCTCCAAAACAGTGACAAAATTAGCATTTAGAAGATATAAGCATTCAAAGCTTGCAGTTCGTCTCTTCCGCCAAAATGGCTCAACGTTTTTTTTGACGTCACATCGTACTTCATCTTCTCATCAAACATTCTGTCCAATCAAATGCTCTCTAGAATCCAAAGCGCCCGCCCCCTACACTATAAAACAGATGCTGAAGCCATGACTGAAATCGGTCACTTGTCCACAGAATTAGTATTTTCTGTACAGTGAATGGCACGTAGTGCACTATATAGGGAACAGGGAATGATTCAAACAGTGTAAATATGCTTTCCATTGAGGGAAAAAGAAGTCTGGTTTCGTGCTGTGTCACGGCAACCACCGCACCGCACACACACTCTGCTCCGGTCCAGAGACACGAAAGCATGGAGCAGATCACATGCGCGAGTCGGCGCAGACCACAAAATGTATCGGAGCTATTTGAATTCTACACAGAATGCTATATTTTATAGCAATATGGATGAGATTGTGGCTGGCATACCCTATCAAATGTGGCTTTACAGAGCTCAACGGCTCTGAACGGCTCTAGCCCGAGCTGTGATATAAACGAACGCTATTGGCTATTTTAAAAAGGGTCGGGGCTGCTTGATATGTCCCGCCCTGTCTTCCTGTTTCAGTTAAAATGACGTCAACACATAGAGTAACGCTGCTTGTTTCTAAGCATTTCAGGTGACCTTTAAGCATTCTGTTTGTGATGTTTCTGCTCCACTAGCTGTGGTCACATGCAAGTTGGAAATATTCTCCACAGAGCCCACAATTGTCTTTAAGGCCACAGCATTGGTGAGCTGCATAAAGTTGTGAGGCTGAGGAAACCACTCTCTCTCACACACACACAAACACACTTGCTTTCCTTGGCTGCCAAATTCACTTTATCTGCATCTTAGATCCATTTACCATCAAATCAGCCATTAACAAATGGACGCTGGTATGGGCATACACACATGCACACGCACAAAAGCAGACATACTAACAATATTAAGGCAAGAACATAAGACTTCAAAAGGACTTGAAATAACTCTAATTGTTCATCAGACAAAGAGATATTCATGCCTGATGTATAATGAGAGAAAGCCCATATTTCCTGCTATTCATCTGAATATGTTTCCATCTTGTTGACATTTTCAGAGTCTTCTTGTTATATGAAAAGGCTTTGCTCTTTTCCTCGCTCACATCTTTCTGGAACCGAACTCTCACACGCAAATAATCACCTTCCCAAACCAGGACAAAAAAACTGACCTGGGCTCAATGTCTCCCCTTAGCATATAATAACAGCTTATCAGACATGGTCAAGGACCCCTGATCTGAGGGCAGTCAAAGGCAAAGGTTGAGGGCAGTGAGTGAATAGTAATTAAGCTGACTGGCTCTCAGCTCCCTGTCAGGGGTCTGGACACACTCATGAGACAGTAAGCAAGTCACCTCTGCTTCCGTGGCGTTTGGCGTTGGAGTCCTGGACACACAGCCTTCTAATTACCCAAACAGTGTAAATATGCTTTCCATTGAGGGAAAAAGAAGTCTGGTTTCGTGCTGTGTCACGGCAACCACCGCACCGCACACACACTCTGCTCCGGTCCAGAGACACGAAAGCATGGAGCAGATCACATGCGCGAGTCGGCGCAGACCACAAAATGTATCGGAGCTATTTGAATTCTACACAGAATGCTATATTTTATAGCAATATGGATGAGATTGTGGCTGGCATACCCTATCAAATGTGGCTTTACAGAGCTCAACGGCTCTGAACGGCTCTAGCCCGAGCTGTGATATAAACGAACGCTATTGGCTATTTTAAAAAGGGTCGGGGCTGCTTGATATGTCCCGCCCTGTCTTCCTGTTTCAGTTAAAATGACGTCAACACATAGAGTAACGCTGCTTGTTTCTAAGCATTTCAGGTGACCTTTAAGCATTCTGTTTGTGATGTTTCTGCTCCACTAGCTGTGGTCACATGCAAGTTGGAAATATTCTCCACAGAGCCCACAATTGTCTTTAAGGCCACAGCATTGGTGAGCTGCATAAAGTTGTGAGGCTGAGGAAACCACTCTCTCTCACACACACACAAACACACTTGCTTTCCTTGGCTGCCAAATTCACTTTATCTGCATCTTAGATCCATTTACCATCAAATCAGCCATTAACAAATGGACGCTGGTATGGGCATACACACATGCACACGCACAAAAGCAGACATACTAACAATATTAAGGCAAGAACATAAGACTTCAAAAGGACTTGAAATAACTCTAATTGTTCATCAGACAAAGAGATATTCATGCCTGATGTATAATGAGAGAAAGCCCATATTTCCTGCTATTCATCTGAATATGTTTCCATCTTGTTGACATTTTCAGAGTCTTCTTGTTATATGAAAAGGCTTTGCTCTTTTCCTCGCTCACATCTTTCTGGAACCGAACTCTCACACGCAAATAATCACCTTCCCAAACCAGGACAAAAAAACTGACCTGGGCTCAATGTCTCCCCTTAGCATATAATAACAGCTTATCAGACATGGTCAAGGACCCCTGATCTGAGGGCAGTCAAAGGCAAAGGTTGAGGGCAGTGAGTGAATAGTAATTAAGCTGACTGGCTCTCAGCTCCCTGTCAGGGGTCTGGACACACTCATGAGACAGTAAGCAAGTCACCTCTGCTTCCGTGGCGTTTGGCGTTGGAGTCCTGGACACACAGCCTTCTAATTACCTTCTACTCTTTACATTCCACTGCATTGCGAAAGAGAAACAGAGAAAGGCAAAGGACATGCAGACAAAAAACTAGCGTGTGTGTGTGAATGATAAAAAAAGAAACAGGGCAGAAAAAGCAGAGGAGAATTATTATTTTGTAATTATTGCAAGCGTTATTTATATATTTGTGATTTGAAACACAATTACAGGCAGATCCTCTGGGAGCAGGGCTCACACCAGCCAGCCTGCCCATCCCAACCAACAAATTAAGTGCCATTAACATTATGTGCTGCCACTGATACTCCACTGTGTGTGTGTGTTGAGTCTACCGAGCTCAGACCAACTGACTAAAGCAATAAAGTGTTCACTCTTGGCTGAACACTGATGTAAAGATACACATTAAATGACCTCTGATTCACCACTGCATTCATTACACAACAGAAATGGCTGTGATTGGTCACAATGCTCAACCGCTGAAAAACAACATGCACGATCAATTAATCACAGCAGCTGTAATTGCAATGTTGATAACTAATTATTTAATTAATTGTTCTACCTTAATATATTGTTGCTTTTTAGTGTTTGTTTAGAACAGAATTGAGGGATAATTAAAATGTATATTTGTCAATCATATAAAAATGAATAGCACTTTTAATTTCATGGAAAAAGTGAGTTATAAATCATATAAGTCAGCTAAATAAATGTGGAAACATAAATAAAATGGTTATTTTAATTTCTTTATAATTTGTGTAATTAGTTATGAGGGTTTAAAAATAAGTTATCAGAAAATAAGCAAACTATCAGTATCATGAGATGGCATGTTAGTATTAGTAAAAATTGAAAAAATTGTAACCACAGATATAATAAATTATAACTGCTTATGTTTCCATGGTTACAGGGCTGTCCTTAGGGGGGTGCAACTGGCGCGGTCTACTGGGCCCCCCCTTATTATAAAGTATATTATATATACATATATATATATATATTATATACATAATATTACACTTTCATTTAGGTGTTAATTGTTTGTTTTAATACATTTTAAGGTGCTACAGAAAATACTTAATTGTATTTAAAATGTATAAACTAGTAGCTGAAATTATTCATGTGAACATTCAACTGATTAAAAGGTATATTACAATTGTAATACAAGTATATTTGAAACAATATTAAATGAGCAAGAACTTTCTGTGATTTGGCAGTAGGTACAGTACTACAGCATGATTGTGAGTGAAATACTACTTTCATACATCATTTCAATAGAAGAGAAATTAATATCAAGTAACGCACATTTTAGACAGAATGCAAACTATTATTTTGTTATTCACTCTATGGCTGAATCCCAGCTGTTGTGATGTTCAGTACAACAGCATTCTAGTGCACTAAAATCAAAAGTAAAGTGCTACTGATAATACTAAAAAGCTTCAGAAGGTTTGAAGCACACAAGCCTTTTATGGTGAGGAATTCAGCTGTTGAATGGACTGAGGGAAGTGAGTATGCAGAGGGCACTGTATAATCCTTGTTTTGCAGCTTTTAAAAAAAAATAATTTCCTCTATCGATCCACCCCTCATCCCGTTTTCATTTGTTCTCTCTCTCTGTGATAACCAAAGTTCTTTCTGTGGTTTTATGCCAACCTGCTCCATCAGCACTCCCTACTGCCTGTCTCTCTCTCTCTCTCTCTCTCTCTCTCTCTCTCTCTCTCACACACACACACACACACACACACACACACACACACACACACACACACACACACACACACACACGTGAAGAGATCTAACACAGATTGACCCTCTCTCTCGTGTGTAATGATTTGTGCGAGCAAATGAAGAAGTTGAACACGACACGTAATCCAGTCCAGCTGTCAATTAAAGCCGAGAGCAGAAAGAAGAGATGAAAACACACACACACACACACACACACACACACA